AAATGTCCTTTGGGGCCCTGCTTCCCCCCGGGCCCCATCTCCTACTCATCCCACCCCACCCTTGGGCCCAGCCTGTGAGCCAAGTGGGAGTGGGGAGTGGCAGAGAGCCCTGGGCCTGCCCGCTCCCACAGGCATGTGGGCCCCAGAGCCTTCACCTCGCCAGCCTCTCTTCCATCTGCCACAACCCCAGCTGCCACCATGGCTCTCCACAGTCACCCCTGGGCCGTCTCTTCCTCCTGTTGGGAGAATGTACCTCCTGGGAGAGCCCGAGGCCCCCTCTCTGCTCCTTGCTCCCCTGTCTGTCTCCCCTGCCCTGCCCTGCCCTGCCCATGGGTCCGTGTGCTCAGAGCTGGCTACATATCCTGTGGTTGCCTATGATACGCGGCTCCCCCAGGCAGGGCTGGACCCTGGGCACCTCTTTGCCCCCGGGGCTGACCCCTCTCTCTGTTGGAGGTCAGCCGGTTCTGAGGCCTCCAAGCCACCTTTCTACTCCTCGATTCCATGGCCTGGTCTCCACTCCCCCCGGGCTTCGGGGTACATGCTGCTCTGCGGCCTCCCCGCACGCCAGCCTTCATGCACCCTGCTCCTGCGGCCTCAGAGCCTTGGCATCTCCCCCGACTTGCAACCAGGCAGTCAGGTTTCTGCAATGTGGGGCCCATGGTCAGTGTCTCCTACAGCCCTGCCAACCCTTCTCCCTGGGGGTCCGCCCTGCATCCCCTTCCCAGGAGCTTGCTGTGCACCCACTGCTGGGCCTCCCAGCCTAGGGGCTTGGCACGTGCCTGTTAGCAGAGGCACCGGGCAGGAGGAGGAGGAGGAGCCTTCAGCGCCTGGCGCCCGTGTGTGTTTACTGGTCCGGCCCCAGCCCCGCGCCGCTCCCCGCGGACCCGGCCTCCCGCCTGTGTCCAGCCAGGTGTTGGGTGATGGAGCAGGGCTCCCTAAGGACAAGGAGCACAGTGTCTGCTTTCTTTGCAAGCACAGTGCTGACAAGGAACAGAATACCCACAGCGACTGCTTCCAGGAAACGGCTGCAGGGCGGGCGGGAGCCTCCGCCTTGCAGCCCCTTCCCAGCAAGCCGGCCTGCAGGTGGTCTTCCAGGAAGGGGCCCCCGCTGGCTTCCCTCAGCCCTGGAAAGGGGCCAACGGTGTCACCAGGAGCAGGCTGGGGAGCGGGGCAGAGCGGGGAGAAGGAGAAAGGAGAGGCGCGGAGGAGGGAAGGAGGGATGGGGCGCAGGCCTGGGCTACGCCTAGTGTGGTTACTGCAGCCTCAGGGGAGAGCGAGGCTGACCACAGCTCCTTCTTGAACCTTCCAGTCCCCCTTTTGGGAAGTCACAAGATCTCCACTCAGGTCTTTGGCTCTCTGGGGCTTGTCAGGCATCTCACACGCACACACACACACACACACGGGCACACCCGCCTGAAAACACGAGCAAGCTGGGCCGCTGTGGGACGCCATTCCCTGAGACCCAGCTGGGGTCCGGTTGAGGGGCTGACCTCCTGGCCCCCATGTTGGGAGGGCCGAGGAGGGCCCCCGCCCGGACCCACTGCACCCTTAGCTCTGAGTGCTCAGATCCCACACCATGTCTAGAGAGAAGGAAATCATTTATCTTCCCGGGAGCTCAGGGTCGGGGAGAGGGGGCTGCCCTCCTTGGGGCCCCAACTGTTTTCTTTGAGACTTCCCAGGGTGCATCATAGTCAGACCCCAAACGTCGCTTCATCCCTGTTTAAAGAACTTTACTTCCTTCGTAGAGTTGGGATTTTCTGTCTTCATTCAATGGTATACCAAGTGCCCTGCCTCCATCCCATCCCCAGCTGCTCCTAATCCCTGCCTCAAAACGTGCTCCTGGGTCACAGAATTCATGCCAAGACACGAACCCACACAAAGGCACAAGACACACACAGCCAGGCTCAGGGGTCCACCCTCCAGGGAACACCACCCCACTACGGGGCCACGATCACACACACGCCCCGCGGAGCATCTCCGGGCCGGACAGGACCCACACCGTCCGCAGCCCGGACGGGCAGGTTAACTGGTCAGCATGCAGAGACCTGCCAAGTGGAGACCCCACTCCCAGGCACAGACGCACAGCTGTGGATGCACGCACTTGGTGACAAGATAGCTGAGGTCCTGTGCCCCGGGAGTGCATGGCTGCACAGGCCATCCGGCGGCCCTCAGGGCCACAGGGATTCGCCTGGAGATGTGTGCACCGAGGGCCCAGCGTGGCCACAGCAGCAGCACACGCCTGGAATCCTCTTCTCTAACTGGGTGACTTGATCTTCACTCAACCTAAACGTGCCACAGAGACTTGGGTGGGTGGAGGGTCCAGGTGTGAAGACCCCAGCGCCTGACAGGGTCAGGGATGTGGCCAGAAGACTGGGCACCCTCGGGGTCTCCCCGAATGGTGGAAGTTCCTCCCTCCCCAGATTTCCCAGCACCTTCGCAGGCAGCCACAACCCCCACCCCAGCCCCGCCACCCCCATGTTGGGGTTCGGGAGTGAAATTCCAGCCCCTGTTTGCTTCTCCACACTGAAGTCAGTGCAGGGGCATTTTGAAAGTGCCTTTGGGTGTCGGGGCGCCCAGAGCCTGTCTAACAACCCTCTCTAAGCCCCTTTTCTAAAAAGCAGGAAATCGGGTTGGGCCAAAGATAAACACACATTCCAACCTGGCAGGTCGTTCAGAGCTAGGGGCTTGGGCGGGCTTCCAGCCCCCGCCCCGGGGCGCGGCAGGAGGCTCCGAGGCTGACCACCTGCTGCAGGGGCCCCCAGGCCTGTGGCTCCCCGCCTGCCTGCCTCACTCTGAGGTTCAGCCCCCAGAATGCTGCCCTCACTACTTCCCTGTCTCAGGGCCGGTGGCCCAGATCCTCTCTGGCACTCAGGGGCTGCCGTGGGGACACCACCCCGGGAACTGCCCTAGGAAGCCCGTTCTGCTGCAGGGAGCAGAGGAACATGGGCTGCCCAGAGGTAGGCACTGCGCCTGTGTACATGTTCTGCTCTCAGGGGGAAGCCAGCGTGGACACAGCCGTGGGCAGAGCTGGGAGATGGCGGGGGCCACCAGGAGGCTTGTGTCCCTTCCCCATCCGGTGTGAGAAGGAGAAGCCCTGTCCCCATACAGCTCCCAGGTAGAAACTCCAGAGCAAACGTGTCATTCATACACTCCTGGGCCCAGAGGTGTGGATGTGACCAGCATGCCTGTTCTCTCCAAGTGACCAGGAGGAGACAGCCCCTAGGAGCTGAGGCAGGTGACGAAGGCCTGAGGCCCCATTCCCATGCGCCCTTCCCCAGGCAGGGATTGGAAGCGGGCAAAGTCTTCCATGTTCCCCAGGTGAGGTTCTCTGGGCGCCCCTCTCCCCCTCCCTACAGGTCCCCTGCCCCGCCACCCTGGGCACCCCGGGGGCTGCCTGCTGCGCCCTGCAGCCGCCACCTGGGGTAGCTGGCTTTTATCTCCTGAGCCCCGCTTTGTAAACCTCCTGTAGCGTTGGGCGTTTATAATAAAGGCCGTTTATAGACCTGACTCCTGACATGTAATGGATGGGCTACTTCATCCTGCCGGCCAAAACCCACTTGGGTAAGTCAAATTGGCCTGTAGGGTCAGGAAGATGAATGCGGCCTCACCCTGGGCTGGCCCCAGTGACCTCTGACCTCCTCCATGAGATGGCGGCCAGTCCCAGAGGCACCATCCCAGAGGCTTCAAGAAGCTGCCTCACCGGATGTCTACGTGCATCCTGGGGGGTGACCATCCGCCCAGGTTTTAGCACACAAGTGTGTCCCTGGAAACCCCTCAGTCTCTGACAGACCCCAGGGCCCACAGCTGGATGGGGACGGGGCAAGAGAGGGTGCAGAGGGGAGGCCAGACCCAAGGGGCGTGGGTAACCACCCTGCTCTTCCGCCCTGGACACCAAGACCCCAAGGGCGGCTGGGCCGGTAGGGGAGGGGCGTCCCTAACCGCCTTCCTGTCTGTTCTTTGTCAGTCGGGGAGGCATTTTCCTGACAGCTCTGAGCACTGGGAATGGGGGTGGAAGGCAGGGGGGAGGAGGGAAGGAATGGGGAGGCTGGGACCCCACCCTTATTTCCAGGGGCTGCCCCTTGTGTTCCCAGCGCCTGCAGAGCGAGGGGCTGGGGGCTGGGAGGCCTGGCTGAGGGAGCTGCCGGCCGCTGGCCTCTGTGGGGAAGCTGACCCCGAACCCGTGAGTGGGCTGCCTTGGCACCCGGGAAGCAAACCCCTGCATGCCAGGGTTCTTGGGGCTCCAGCAGCAAGACCCCAGGGAGAGATCTCGGGAGCCCCTCACCCTAGGCCCTCCTGCCCCTCCTTCACCTCCTCTCTGTGGCCACCCTCAACTCCTTCCGCCTTCCTCCTGGCCCCCTGGCCTCCTTAGGACCTCCGCCCCAAGGCCACCTGCCCACTCCCACCCCCACCCCTTGGCTCCTTGGGTGGGGGCCGTCCCTCCGGCGTGGCCCCGGCTCCCACCCACAGCAACAGGGGAGCAGGAACGGGACTGGCAAGGGGTTCGTGTCCCTCTTGGGATGGGGTCTCCCAGAGCACCTTGTGGGCCTCCCAGAGTGGCATGGCCAGCCCTCTCCCAGTCACCTAGTCTGAGCCTCAGGAGTGTGGGGCCAGCACCAAGGTGTCATTCTGATGGGACTTTGGGGTGGCAGGAGGCACTCGTTTGGGGGTGCCTTGGTGGTCCCTGACCCCTGCCTCAGAACCCAGGCCCCCTCCGCCAGCCCAGGCCCTCCCACTCTGTGGAGCCCCTGGTCCTGCAGCCCCTCCACCCCCATCACTGCGTGCTGACCGCCTGCCCTGCGCCCCTGATGTCCACACACCCTCTGCTCACCCCACCCCTGGTGTGTGCTGTGCTGCACCCATCCCCGAGTCCTCCACCCTGGAACCCCCATCCCATTTTCATGGACTCCTCCCCCTCCCCCTCCCTCCAGCCCCCCTCTGCCCAAGGCTGGCCTCCCCCACGTCAGGCCCACAGCCCCAGATTCCAGAGTCCCTGAGACAAGTTGCTGTAACAGTGTTTATTGATGATGAGTCCAGGGCTCCTGCTGAAGCCCTGGTGGGGAGGGGCACAGGGCGAGATGGGGCGTAATGGAATGCTTGAAGGTTGCCCCGTGATGTTGGAGCTTCCAGACTAGGCGAGGGCAGAGTGAGGCCTCGGGCACACAGCCGGCGCCCAGTCACCCAGCCCAGATGAAGGGCGGCCGGGCCCTGGGCGGGCACTTGCCAAGGTGGCTCACACTCACGCACACTCGCACCGAGACTCAAGGCCGTCTCCACAACTCCAACCAGTGCAAATGACTTAGTGCAAATTAAATTCAGAAGGGACGGGGGAAACAGAGTCGGGGAGGCTTTGAATCTCTCAGAGAAAGGAAAGACAGGAAAGCTCAGAAACAAAGAGACAGAAGGATGAAGAAGAAGAAGAGGGAGGTGGTGGGGACGGGGTCATCCCGCTGGAGGAGCTCAGCTCTGGGATGACGCGGTGGCTGGTGGTCAACCGTCCGCCGCAGGGGGTGGCCATGAAGATGGAGTCGCTGGTGGGGGGTGGGTGCTGCGGGCGCTGCTGGTCCAATGGCGTCTTTGGTGTTGGGTTGATGAGGTCTTGTTCCTCTAGCTTCACCTGCAAAGAGCGACACGTGGGTTGGGTGGGGGCAGGGTGCTCGGGGAGCTGGAGGCTTCCGGAAGGAGCGCTGGTGCTCACCTTCCGGAGCCGATTCCTGAGTCAGGTAGTGCAGTGGTTGTAAAGTGCAGCGTGTTCGATTCCAACTAGAGGGTTTTGTGTCCGGATTCAAAGGCCCAGGCTTGAGCTGGGTAGCACCATTCTGTGGACGGAGAAGGAGTGAGGTCCCACTCAGCTCCTCTCACGTGCCCCCCACCCCAGGTGTGGCAGGAGGCCCCGTACCTTTCATGTTGTGGGTTCTGGGAGCCCAGAGGGCAGCTGTAGTGTGCCGACTCCGTGGGAGAAGTAAAGAAACAGACCCGCTTTTTGCCGCAGCCCCACCAGCCTAGGGTGTTCTGTAGGAGACAAAGGTCGGGGGAGTGAGATGGTGGCCCGGCCGGGCGGTCTGGGCAGGGCCCCGTCCCGACGCAAGGAGGGCAGACATGCTTACCAGGAAGGCCGGACGCGCCCCTTCTGTCCTCGCCGTCACACCGGACCATGTCATGTCCCACTCGGCAAGTCCGCCGGACCTGGCGTCCCGGCCTTCGGCAGCTGGTGGGCACGTCCACCCCGACTGGAGACCTGGCTGTGGGGAGAACGAGAGAGGTGTTAGTTGTGTGGGAAGGTGCAGGTGGGGGCTCAGGGTGGCAGAGGAGAAAAAACTCACCCTCGTCTCCAGCCCGAACGCTGAGGCACCGATCCCGGCTCCGTCGTCGCCCGTGAGGCCCGCCTTGGCCACGGGCTCTGGAGGCCAGTGCCTCCCGCTCGCCGCCTGCTGTGCTCCTCACCCCTGCCTGCGCCAGCCTCCCTCCTGAGAGCTCTCATTCACTCCGCCCCGCCCGCCTCGCCTAGTCTGGTCTCGCCCCATGCCCTTGACTCCCCTGGATGCTGTACTGCCTGCCAAGCCAGCCCCAGGGGCTGAGCGGTGAGGGCATACAGTGTCACCAAGTCCACTGTGGGCCCTCTCCGCACCAGACCCTGGGCCGCAGTGCCTCGTGGGAACGGCGCCCGCAGGCCGAGCCCCTGCAGCCTCCTTGCTGCGTAATGTCCCGGGGCCCCTCCCGTGGCCGCTTCGCCCTCCTGGTGACGTCCTGCTGCTACTCCCCGAGCACTGCCTGTCTTCCCGCTCTCCAGCCCTCGAGGCTCCGGCATAGGCCTGAGAAAGCCCTGCCAGAGCTGCCCCTGTGCCTGCTACTAAATGAATTACGGTGGGTGAGGTGGCAGCTGGGGACCCCTCTGTTTTGTGTCCCCTGCCTTGTCCCTGTCTGACCCGGGCCTGGGGTACCACCCCACGTGCTGGACCCTACGCTGGCCACCCTGCGCTCCGTCCCTGCCCTCTTGCCCTTTCTGCCTGGGATGAGCCCGCAGCCCCCCAGCCTTGCGCAGTCTCGGCTCCCCCCGAGAAGATGTCACCTTTTCTAACTTTCCTGCCCCCATCCTGCCCCTCTGCCGGGAGGGTGTCTGCTTCTCCCCGCCAGCCCTCGATCCCCTAAACCTCCTTCTTTCAGAAGGCTGGGGAAGCGAGGCCTGGGGAGGGAAGGGACTCACCTGCCCGGCAGATGGGGTTCTCACCTGCCCGCTGCTGCCAGCTACACCTCCGTTGCCCAGGCCCTGGGATCAAACCCTGCCCATCAGCTCCCCTCGTCCAACCAGCTGCCACGTCCTGTAACCAAAAGTGACCGGGATGAATGTCTGGCTCCCCCTTCTCTCCAGCCCTAGCTCGGGCCCATCGCCCCCAGCTGATGTTGCTCCGTCTGCACGATGCCTGGGCGCCTACTCCACACTCCTCTCTGGCCCCAGACCCCACAGCCCTGCCCCGAGCTAGCCCCTCCACCCGTCGTCACGCCTGCCAGACTCCAGATGTCCAAGGTGCTCCTTGGCTCCCACAAACTCTCCTCCAGCACCCCATCTTCCCCTGGTTGCCCCACGGTTCCCCACTTCCCCAGTTTCCCCCGTTACCCCCCACCCCTCCCACCCCCTCCCTCACCCTGCTCCTTGGCCCTAGCCCGGGCTTTTTCTAACTGGGGTGGCCCCGCCCAGAATTCCCGCCCCTGCCCTGCTGGCCAATCAGAGCAGGGCCCTCCCGAGGGCCCCCGCAGGGCCCACCTCCGCCCTGGACAGTTCCAGCACACGTCTCTCTCACCCAGCACCCATCCTGGAATTCTCCAAAGACGGCCTCCCCACACCCCTCCTTTGGCATCCGGAGACAGGGCTGGGCATTGCCCCTGTCGTCTCCCTCAGGGTCGAGGACTTCTCCCTCCCAGACTGCTGTCTTCCCTCAGGGGGCACCATGCCTGCTGCTCCCTGCCTGCCAGCGCCCTGCACGTACTTTGCACATGACTGGGGGCCGACTGCGGGTCCCTGAGGACTTGGATGGCACACAGAGCCCTTTCCTGCCAACACCACGGACGGCTCAGACCTCACGTTTGCTCCAGGGGTCCCGGAAGTCCACGGGGTGTGGTTCCTGGAGAGTGGGGGTGGGGTGCTGAGGGCAGAGGGAAGTGCCGCAAACCCCCTGATGGATGCGGTGCCAGCCCCCAGGCCGATTCCCATCCAGTTGAACGAGCTTGTGCTCGTCACCACGGCTTCCGCAGGACAGAGTCCCCACAGCCGCTGGGCACCCTGGTCCCCTTCCCGTCCACTTTCCTGTCTGAAGACGGCATGCTGCCGGTCGTGCTCTCGGCTCCCGGGCGCACTCTACTGACAAATGGTGGGCGGCCTCACAGACTCTCCCAGGCCCCGCGGGGCACCACGGTTGGGAGTGGAGTGAAGACTGGAGAGCTTCGACTCCCCCAGCCACCCCGCTGTGGGTCCGCGGGTCACCACCTTGGCCTCTAGGGAGGGTTGTTGGGGCCCCGCGGTCCATAGGGTTCACCTCAAGTCTCGAGTGTCGAAGCCGTGAAGGGGGGCACCAGGGCCAAGGGACCCAGAGTTCATGGGTCCAATCACCCCGCAGGCCCTCTGGGATGTGGAAGGGCTGACTGCGCCTTCGGCAAACCCTCTGCTTCTATGGCCCGGCCAGGAACGGCTGGGTGCTTGCCTGCTGAGCACTGACCACCGGACTTTGTCGTGGGTGAACCCCAGCTTCACGGCATGAGAATTCTCAGGCTTTCCCATGAGTTAGGAGACCAAGGCAGATCCCCACATTTTGCTAAAAGTGGAGTCCAGCCTTGGGTCACCTTCATACTGTCATGTGAGTCACCACTGCTGCCTCTCAGCCATTTCTGTCTCTATAGCTACAACCGATTCTGTGCCATTGCTGGGAGATGGGCTCATTGGGGACAGCACCCAAGACCCAAGGGAGACTCCGGAAATACAAATGTGCCGGGCAAAGCGGCTTCCCAGGCCCCTCGCTCCCGCTCCAGCCGTTGTGGGAGGATCCGGTGGTGCTGTCCTGGAATTTCACTCCCAGCAATGCACGGCCACAGGGAACACCTGTGGGCAAATGTACCTCTCCACACGCCAACTACCACCGCCCGGACATGATGATCTCTGAGCAAGTAGCACATCCGGGCCATCGAGCATCTTAGCCCCGTCAGGGTCCCCACCCCATACCAAGTCCATAAACCACAGGGTGTCTGCTGTACCCACGTTAGTGGATTATCTCTGACAACACAAGGATCCTGGACCCCAGAATAAAGCAGCAGTGGCCCTCCCAGCTCTTTAGCATCTTAAGCTCCTGAATTAGCATCTCAAACCTGCATTGAATGGGCATGTTAATGTCTGGCCACTTAGGGCTGAGGAACTCGGAGTGTTCTCTGGGGAGGCAGAAGTCAGTTCAGTAAAGAGTTGGATTTGAGCGCTGTCCTTAGAGTCAGATCTGTGCTCTGCGATACATGTGGAAAGTGTAAGATTTTGCTGGAACACGCTGTGATCATCACATAAGTAGGCGTGACTTGAGTCCCAAACAATGACACCGAAGCCCTCAGAGTGCGAGCCGGGGCCACAGGGCTGTGGATATGGCCCCACCTGAAGACCTGGTGCGGCTCCCATGAGTGTCCTATTCCCAGATGACCCCCGTGAACCCTGCGGCACCTGGCGTGGGTGACCCGGGACATTTCCACGGGCGAACCCCAGCCGGGGCAGGCTCGGACTATGATGTATGAGCCTGCACTGCCGCCGCACGGCCACTTCCGATTCCACAACTACAACCAATTCCGTGCCGTCCGGGCAGTGAGACCGAAGGGGAAGCCTCTAGAAATACACATGTGCTACGCAAGAGTCCCCGGGTTCTTGTGCCTGCCAGAGACCCTACGAGAAGGGTCTCACGCTGAGGCCGAGATCCCCATCATCCAAAGAATGGGGACACCTCATTGTCTCCCAAGTATCTCCTCTCATTGCCCCAACCCTCAATAGTGCACCCTGGGGTGAATCAGACACGTAGCCCGATGTGGCGCCCATGAGTGTCCTATCCCTCACGACCCCCGGGAACCCTGCGGCGCCTGGCTTGCGTGACCCGGGACATTTCCGCGGGTGAACCCCAGCCAGGGAGGGCTCGGGCTGTGATGTGTGAGCCTGCACTGCCGCCGCGCGGCCACTTCTGATTCCACAACTACAACCGATTCTGTGCAATGCGGGCAGTGAGATCGAAGGGGAAGCCTCTAGAAATACACATGTGCTATGCAAGAGCCCCCAGGTTCTTGTGTCTGCCAGAGATCCTGTGGGAGGGGTCTCACGCTGAGGCTGAGATCCCCATCATCCAAAGAATGGGGACACCTCATTGTCCCCCAAGTATCTCCTCTCATCACCCCAACCCTCAATAGTGCACCCTGGGGTGAATCAGACACGTAGCCCGATGTGGCTCCCATGAGTGTCCTATCCCTCACGACCCCCGGGAACCCTGCGGCGCCTGGCTTGCGTGACCCGGGATGTTTCCACGGGCGAACCCCAACTGGGGCGGGCTCGGGCTGTGATGTGTGAGCCTGCACTGCCGCCGCGCGGCCACTTCTGATTCCACAACTACAACCGATTCTGTGCCATCCGAGCGGTGAGACCGAAGGGGAAGCCTCCAGAAATACCCACGTGCTACGCAAGAGCCCCTGGGCTCTTGTGCCTGCCAGAGACCCTGTGGGAGGGGTCTCATGCTGAGGCCGAGATCCCCATCATCCAAAGAATGGGGACACTTCACTGTCCCCCAAGTATCTCCTCCAATCTCCCCAACCTTCAATAGTGCACCCTGGGGTGACTCAGGCACGTAGCCCGATGTGGCTCCCGTGAGTGTCCTATCCCTGATGACCCCCGTGATCCCTGCGGCGCCTGGCCTGTTGACCTGGGACATTTCCGCAGGGGAACTGCAGGTAGCCGGGCTTGGGCTATGATGCGTGAGCCTGCCCTGCCGCCACGCAGCCACCTGTATTTCCATACCTTCAACTGATTCCGTGGCATCCGGGCAGCGAGACTCCAGGAACACTTGTGCACTATGCTTGGCAGACTCCCAGGATCCCTGTTCCTGCCGAAGGCCTTGTGGGAAACAGTTCCCTCTGGAGCATGTGCTTGAGTCCTTGGGTCCCAGTCATTACCACCTCAGAACACAGGGATCCCTCATTTCGGAAGTCTCTGCTCTCCTGTCCCAACTTCAGTCCCTGACCAAGGTGATACGGGGCCATGGTCCTCTGATGAGGTCCTTGAGTCTGATTCCAGCAGCACACAGGCTCCAGGGCAGAGCCGAGGTGGGGCTCTGGAAAATGCACCAGCAGGCTCATATGAGCACTTGTTGGCCAGGTGTACAGATTCCACAGCACAAGGCAGGCGATTGGGCACAGACCGCACGGTGCACAAACACCACTGATCCCCATCCTTTGTCAATTCCACAAACCGCGGGATGTCTGCTGCACCCACATTAGCGATTTATCTCAGGCAATGCAAGGATCCTAGACCCCAGAATAAAGCAGCAGTGACACTCCCAGCTCTTTAGCATCTCAAGCCCCTGAATTAGCATATCAAACCTGCACTGAATGGGAATGTTAATGTCTGGCCGTTTAGGATTGACGAGCTTAGAGTGTTCACTGGGGAGGCAATTGTCAGTTCAGTAAAAGGCTCGGGATTTTGGGGGCTGTCCTTAGTCGGATCTATGCTCTGGGATGGATGTGGGAACGTGTAAGCTTTTGGCGGAACTTGTTGTGCTCATCACGCTGGTAGGCGTGACTTGAGTCCCAGGCCATGTCACTGAAGGCCTCAGAGTACGACCCGGGGCCGCGGGCTGTGGATATGGCCCGATAAAAAGACCTGATGTGGCTCCCATGAGCATCCTATTCCCAGAAGACCTCCGAGAACCCTGGGGCACCTGGCTTGGGTGACCCGGGACGTTTCCGCGGGTGAACCCCATCCAGAGAGGGCTCGGGCTGTGATGTGTGAGCCTGCACTGCCGCCGCACGGCCACTTTTGATTCCACAACTACAACCGATTCTGTGCCATCAGGGTGGTGAGACTGAAGGGGAAGCCTCTAGAAATACACATGTGCTACGCAGGAGCCCCCGGATTCTTGTGCCTGCCAGAGACCCTGTGGGAAGGACCTCACGCTGAGGCCAAGATCCCCATCATCCAAAGAATGGGGACACCTCATTGTCCCCCAAATATCTCCTCTCATCTCCCCAACCTTCAGCAATGCACCCGGAGGTGAATCAGACACATAGCCCAACGTGGCTCACATGAGCGTCCTATCCCTCACGACCCCCGTGAACCCTGCGGTGCCTGGCTTGCGTGACCCGGGATGTTTCCGCGGGCGAACCCCAGCTGGGGCGGGCTCGGGCTATGATGTGTGAGCCTGCACTGCCGCCGCGCGGCCACTTCCGATTCCACAACTACAACCGATTCTGCACCATCCGGGCAGTGAGACCGAAGGGGAAGCCTCTAGAAATTACCCATGTGCTATGCAAGAGCCCCCGGGCTCTTATGCCTGCCAGAGACCCTGTGGGAGGGGTCTCACGCTGAGGCCGAGATCCCTTCATCCAAGGAACTGGGACACCTCATTGTCCCCCAAGTATCTCCTCCAATCTCCCCAACCTTCAACAGTGTACC